CAACAAATAAATTTAAGAAATGAGCAGAGAACAGCAAATAAGAAACAAAAAGAAATAAAAAAAAGGCAACGACAATTCTTTGAAAAATGCTAATGAAAATGCCATTGAAACTCTTACCACTGAGAAAGAACATTTAAAATGTACCTTATCAGTGACGCAGAAGATGATTCCTGAATTAAGATATGAAGTCACTGCGATAAAGGTCTATAAGTATGATTTGTGCACATAAAAATAAGTTTTTATTAGTTCATATTTTTTTTTTGTTTAACCAAAGAAGTTTTTGTGTAATTTGTATTTTGGTGACAAATATAGCCTTTTGACTTTTTTACATTTGAATCTTTTTTACTGATTAATTTACCAATCTCCCAATTTTCTGAATCTTCTTCCAAAAATATGGGTGACCGCATAATCAGGTTTGTTCCGCCTAGCGGTCGAAAAGCGGATCATCAGCGGTCGGTAATTGGCGCATGGTGGCCGAATACAGGAAAAAGTACACTTTTATAAATTAAAGTATATTTAAAAACTACAACCCATTTAAAACCATTTATGATAATTGTTAACCAGTTTATATATTCCAGATTATTCGGTAATAAAATCAAAACAATAAAAATTTTAATAATTATCTATCGGACATAGAAGTAAAGTCAGAAAATGTCTTAAATGACCGACAACCGGCGCAGTCACACTACTATGTTGATGTTTAACTTAAGATTTATTTTACCCGACCAAAAAATTAATCTTACGTTCAAAAATTTTCAACATACTCATCAAATAGTATTAGTCCAGTAACTGAAGGGACCAACCTGTCATTTAGTCGGTCCAGATTTTCGTTGTGGCTCAACTCTTAGGTCTCGGCGGTCGCTTCCAAGGTCGAAAACTTTTACCAACTCTGCTGCGTCGGAAAGGGCCCAAAATGGACCCTTAAACTGGTTTCCCGCCAATATCTTCCACAATATGCAAATTAGAGAATTTTTGTTTAGATAAAAAAGAAAGATCTTATCATTATCTACAAAAATGGTCCCTATCATTTTTGTCGGGAATTCGATAGGTTTCGAGATAACCGCAATCAAATGTCCCCTCGTTCAGCCCCTGCTTTATCTCTATAGCAATGCTGATTAGCTTGTAAACAGGTGGACAAATTGTTTCAGAACTCGGTCAAAACTTGATATTTTTCGATGATTCAAAGTTCATTACAATGGGAAAACCCATAGGTATCGATCCATGTGCCTTGAAGCCCGTTATTTCCTTTCAAGAACATTGAAAAAAGGGTCAAAGTTGCGTTTTCCCACTATTTTGGACCACTTTATAGTAATTCATTCTTATTTTTTTTCTTTTAATAGTTTTTTATCCCATTTTTGTTTTAAATGGGATCTTGAGATGTCTCGAATGATCTCAAGAAAATTTTTTCCAGTATCTTCATGGCGTTTTAAAACAAAATTGATTTGTTTATTTGCATTTTTCATACGTTCTAGAAATCTTTGAAACAAGCAGTAATTAAAAACTCATATTTCATTATATTGTTATTCAATGCACACCATTTTAAAGCTTAGAGTGTCTACTTTTCGAATGTATTTTTTTTTTTAATAAAGTTGCTCAATTTTCTTGAAATCGGGAAAATTGATCACACCGGGGAGAACCGGACTTTTTTTAAATACTTCTTGTTCCCCGCTGTTCATTGTTTGAACATTAATACCCAGACCGAAGTGAAGCTGATATTATCACCTTTCCATTTCTATCAATTGATCCACGTATGTGAGCGTGGTTCTTAACTGTTTGTTAGAATTATCTCCCCCATTTTTACGCTCTCTGCCTGAGATCCATGATATTCCATCATAACCTAACCACGTGTACCCACGCGCCACGCGCTCACCTTAATCGTCTGCTTTTGTTGGTATACAATCTCTGTTATTTTTGGTCGTTATTGTCGGTATTATTGATAGTATTTTAGAAAAATATTGATAGTATTTTATCATTATCAATTAAGTTGTTAAAAAAAAGAAGTTTTTAAAGTGAAAAATGCGACGTCATTCTTGAATTTTCAAGAATTTGTTTTTCGTTTGTGGGGAACAGAAAAGGTTTGATTGATTTAAAATAAAGTCTATAAATTTGTTGTAATTCTAATAGAGCAAGAGCACGACGATGAAGAGTGTGATTCTGATGACATTGAATGGTTTAACGTATGATAAATTATAAGCATTGCTATGTATTTCGTATTTTCAACATGTTTTTCATAATAAAAGAAATTTTTCAGAAACTTCTTATTTTTCTGAAATCCTGGACCTATATTGTTTCGATAGAAGTTGGCGAAAATTTTGCAAAAGACGCAGAAAATATAAAGGGTCTTCTCGGGTCAATATTCATCACACTCTAAAACTAGTAACCCACTATTAGGCAAAGCGTCGGGATTTGAGACTGCCACATGAAAAACAAAATTTTTGCACTTTTCTATTAAATTTTGCAACGCAAATTACACAGAACATTCGGAAATATAGATGAGATACTCCAAGCGCTACTTTACAGAAAAAATCCCGTAGAATCCGCCAATAATTGTCGAAAGATCGATTGGTGCCCGGAGTTCTATTCATAGGCCCCATAATTTAGTGAGCAGAGGTACGCCGCTGGCGCCATCTACAATTGGTCTCCAAAGTCAAAAACATGAAATCAATGTATTCCCAACTCCCTCGAGCGGAAATTCAGTGAGAAACTAACATTTCTATTCAGTGCAAAAATTCGGGCTTTTTCGAAGGCCGCTTTGGCAAAAAATATTCGTCTTGCGAAAAAATGGTAGGAACCATTTTTGTAGATAATGATACGATCTTCATTTTTTATTTAAACAAAAATTGTCAAATTTGTATATTTTGGCAGATATTAGCGGGAAACCATTTTTTCGGACTTAGGGGCCATTTTGAGCCCTTTCCGACCCAGCAGTGTTTTTGCCCTTGAAAGCAACCGTCCAGACCTAAGAATTGAGCCACAAAGGAAATCTGGACCGACTTAATGACAGCTTTGCATATTTTCAGGTTTTCAGTTACTGGACTATAAGCCGTTTTTGAGGAAAAAAAAACAGTTTTGTTCAAAAATTCAAGTAAGTAAAAAATTATCTTTCATCGGATTTTTTCAAAATTGTTCTATGCCATCTCTATGTCATGGTTATACTATGAGAATTTTTACAAACTTTTTAAGCTTATTTTTTTTTATAAATAATAATATTTCACAATAAATTATCTCTAAAACTTTTATAAACGTACAAAATTAGTCTATTTCCTGTTATTATAACTTTTTATTGCTTTACACACCACCTAAGATTTATTATAAACACTGAATAATCGTAAAAAGTCAATAAAAACGTTTTAATTTAATAAATATTTTTAAATTTGACACCTAAAACGTTAGTCTAGGCGGTACTGCTAGGAAAAAAACATTAATTAACGTTTCTGAATCTACCGACTTGGATGTATCGTGACAGCCGAATTTTTTGCGATGTTGCCAAATCAAATTACATATCAGAGAATAAAGGATATTACAGAATGGTAAATATAACAGCAAATGTAATAATTAATTGAAACGCTTGGAGGAACAATGTACACAAGGAACTTTTTTGCTTCATTTCGTCCAAGGGACACGCCTCCGAATTTTTTCGCAATATTAAAAAAACACCCTGTATATGTTAATTATCAATCGTGTTACCCTGAAATATTTTATTTTAATTATATATTTTTATTGCCTTGTTTGTATAATTTAGTATTTTCAAAAATATTAGATGTATTGGTAATTTGGATCATGCAGGTATTAAATAAAAATAAGGCTGTTGGTAAATTAGTTTTAAAAAGACCAATAAGTATTAAACATAAATTTTGATTTTGATTAGGCACTTAACAAGTCACATCCCACATATTTACGAAAAATGATATCAACTTGAAATTTTTAGCAAACATCAAGCTCTAAAAGGAGAAGAATCCCTTTAATTATAAAAAAAAAACTGATTAAATATGGGAGACTTAAGAGGGGTTGAAATAAAAAAAAAATCAAAATTGAAAAGCGATATCAACATGAAATTTTTAGTAAAAATCAAGCCCTATAAGGATATGAGGCCTATTGATTGTGAAAACAATGTGCTAGAAAATAGATAGTTAAGAGGTGTGTTAAACTGCGAAGAGTATCATTTAGAATGCCAGGCATTATATATCTTTATTCTAGTTTGTATCTGTGTAATAGTATATATTGTGATCTTATAAAATAAACATTTAAAACCTTTTAGTTCTTATTTTATTTGCCAATAAAAGGTACTTAAAAAATATATTTTTTATTTGACATCTGTGACAAATTGTGAAAATGATTAAACTTACAAAAAAACTGAAAAATGGTAGGGTAAAGTTTCATATAATATTTTTTACACAAAAATCAATGTCAAGCTTTATACATAACCTGATATATATATTTAAAAATAAACTCAAATTATGAAGAAAAGTCAGTTTACTAACTAATCATGTTTATAGATGGTTTTCAATGTATTAAAAACAAAACAAATATTACACTAACTAAAATATTAATTTATTAATAGTTGTAGTGCTTAAAAACAGTATGATGTTGATAATAATAACTACACTGAATACAAACACAAATATTAAAAAAAAAACAGTGATATTGGCTATTGTACAAAGTTTTGAACCTTACAAATGATAAAATTATTGGAAAAGTGAACACCCATTTTAAACTATAATCATTTGCAAAATTAAAACATTCAGGAACATAAACAAGCAACAAAAACAATTATTAATATTTTTTTATCAGTACTAATTAGACATTAACAAGCATATTTTATAAAACTGCAAATTCAGAATATAAATAAATTTAACTGCGGTATTTCCTAAACTTTTTATAAACAATTAAATCCTTCACCCAGATATAACACCTGGCAATTTTTATATATTCAACAACCTCAATAATGGGTTTATTTTAACTAATATTTATTTAGAACAAAAACATTAACATTTACTTACTTTGAAAGATTCTAAAGCTTCCACCCAACTCTGCTTACTTTCAACAGATAAAGCTCTAAGATACCAAACACAATCATTTACTGATATATCAAAACGACATTCATCAAATTCGTGTGGCTGAAACAAAATAAAAATATTTTAAAGCACAACAAATCACATATCATGTAATTTAAATTAATTATAGCAAAAATAGAAGACAAACTTACTCTATTTTCAACAAAATAGTCGTTAAAGAAATATTTTAGACATTCTCTGTGCCCATATTAATTATTAAACCAGTTGTAAACTATATTTGAACAAATATAACATTTAACAACCATGTTAATAATTTGACCAATAAAACAATTTAATTCCAATTTTTATTTATTTATCACATGTTTAAGACTAGGTCGAACTAAATACCAACTTTCAACATCAATTAAAATTTATTTTGTGTGTATTTATCATTCAACTCATGACTAATAATGTAACCATTTGGTAAACTATTATCTTGTATTTGGACATAACGTTGGTAATGTTAATTTACACCTATTTAGGAATTTTAGGATTTAGAACGTACGATTTTGGGTATCGATTACAAATAATTAAACAGTACGTACTTTAATAACAGCTTTGGCAATGGATAAGGCTCCTCTGCAACCATACCCACTCTCCTGTTCGCTTTTGTAATATGACAGCGTACCGTTTTTCAAAACAATATACCTATCTTGCCAACCGTGTATGTAATTCGTCCATTTACTCAATACACCTGAAAATTCGTTTAGATTTTCAACATCTGAATCGTCACTGCTTTGACCCTCGGCCATACTAAATTAGAGTGCGGGTTTGTATATGTTCGCCGATTGCGTGGGCATCGGTCCGAATTAACGCATTTGAACCTTAATTCTACCTATTAAACCGAATTTTAGACTCTTTAGTTCGATAAAAATTTGTTTATCAAAATTTTTTACGCTTTTTATCGATGACATTTGTTGTAATGACGGGTGTTGACGTTTATGCCATAAAATTGCTGTCTAGTAAATTACCCAGTGCCGGGTACCGAACTGAAACGAAAAATGTACGGAGTCTGCAACGTTGCCAAATTATTTTGCAAAGCACAAATTTATCAGTTTATTTTCATTTTCCATGATTTTGGCGCCCTTAGATCATTGCGCTCCGGGTGGCCGCCCGGTTCGCCCTACCCTGGGGCCGGCCCTGAGAGACAAGTATCATGATTCTTTTCGACCCGAATTTTTTTTTTAGTAAATAAACCCAATCGTTAGTTAAATAATAATTGTCGTTCGTACTTTGATTTTAATTTTCACCACAGAAAATGTTTGTACAGGATTACTGCTTTGTGATATTTGGCTACTTTGTATACATATGACCCCATTCGGAAATCCGAGCCCGCATTAGGAAAATTTCTAGAGAACATAAATCATAAAATGACGTTTCTGGACAAACCCCATTCAATGCAGCCAACAAAAGAAATACATTGTTCATGAACGTCCCTAGGCGAGTTCGGTCAGTCAGGGGCTGGAGCGGGACAAATTTTAGGGTGCTTTTAAATGACATTTAAGCGTGTTAAACTGTCACTAATCGGACTAAACCGAACGCTAAAAGAGTCGTTTGGAGTTAAAAGTGTTAAAGGAGTTAAAGGAACGTGGCAAACCGAACGCAATGCCTATAGAATTAGGCATTCCAAACTGAATGGCTACCAGTGGGTTTTGACGGGTTATGATATGGCAAAATTATGGCAACCCTGTAGGCCTGGTGATTTGACAAGATCAATGAAATAGATAGTTACATAGATTGATCATCCATATTTTTCAAAATAAACATAAGCTTATGCCTTAAAGTAAAAATATAAGCAATTATTTTTTTTAAATACCTAAAGGCTAAAAATTGGTTTTAAAACACATTTTTGCTAAACCGATTCAAATTAATAAATATTTACCAGACAATATGGCCGCTTGTAAACGACCAGCTTTGAGCAATCTATATAACTATATATGTATCATTGACCCTGTTAATGACAACATGACAACAGGGTTGCCATATCTAAACTGTCATTACCCACTGGTAGCCATTTGGACAGGTCGTTGGAATGCCTAATATTTGAGGCGAGTTCGGTCAGTCAGGGGCTGGAGCGGGACAAATTTTAGGGTGCTTTTAAATGACATTTAAGCGTGTTAAACTGTCACTAATCGGACTAAACCTAACGGTAAAAGGGTCGTTTGGAGTTAAAAGTGTTAAAGGAGTTAAAGGAACTTGGCAGACCGAACGCAATGTTGGTAGCAATGGTGTGACATTGACAAAACAATGTCAATGTCATTATATAATAATATAGCTATAACCTAACTTTTATGACATTTTTAATAAAATTCTCGTCTGAAAGGCATTAGATTGGTTTTAGAATGGGTAATTCCATGGGAAATACGGTCAACAATGGCTTTAATTTATATTTTCACCCTGAAATTACGCCAAGTCCATTAGAAGAACCAACATTCGATCCCTTGGAGGGATTCGACAGTGGTCGCAAAAAGAGGGGTTTGTAATTTTAATGAATAAGTAGAAATTATTTAGGTATACAGAATAGTTTTTTCTGCATACCATTAGTTAGATATGTTCATTTTGAATTCATAATTTAGCTTATTTTTAATTTTCAGTTATGATTGCAACGGAGGAAGAAATGAGGTCAGCTAAGATACCACTAGAAGATAGAGACTATTGTGCACATCTATTATTAAAGTTTCGTGATTGTCGGAAAGCAAATTGGCCGTTTGCAGCGAAGTGCCATCATGAAAAACATGAATACCTTGACTGCCAATATGATGAGTAAGTTAAAATCATTCTTGGACAGTTCGCTGACTATTTTAATAAAATATTTCAGTTCCTATGTCTTACATAATTGAATATCTTGAAGAAATTACAAAATAATTGTATCCCACAGATAATTTAATTTCCTGAATTGCTTGTATTAGACTTAACCTTACCAGACCATCCTTATTCACAGAAAGTTGAGTTGCAGATCTTGGAGATAAAATTGGTCTGTCACAGTTTATAATTCCTTACCAATAGAATCCTATAAAACCAGAATTAACAGGTTGCCACCCCTCATACTAACGGTATATATCATTCACGGTACTGCAATATCTTTTTAATTTGCTTCTTTTTTTTCAGTTTTGTTATAAGAATGAAGGAATACGAACGTGAAAGAAGATTAAGAGTAAAAGCTGCTGCATAAAAGCAATTTGTAATTATTTGTAGATATCGTTTTAGTAAATTTATTATTTGTGAACAATTTAAATAAAGAAAATTACCTAAAATGAGTTTATTTTATTCAAATTTAACAATTTTAAAAATGATAATCACGAAATGGTATTAAATTTGACCTTATACTAATAGAGGGCGGTAAGCGTTATGATACATTGACAGCAGCGTTGCCAAGTCTAATCTTTTTCTATTTGAAATTATTGTAATAAAGTGAAATAATGTACATTATTCCCTATTAAATGAGTATTTTTTAATTTGTTTATCTATTATAAGGCTACTCCTACTAATCAATTATTTAAATCTACTATTTTTCACATAAACAAAAATTAATCTGACAAACATGCTATGCTTGTAATTTTGACAGATGACAGCACTTTTGACAAAAGAACTGTCATCGTCATCGAGTATGACAGGCGATAAATAACCAAAAAAGTTTGCCGATGTCTCAGTTTTGTTCTCATTAATTTTTAGCCAAATAATAAGAGTGTTCTTAATATATTATTAATTTAAAAATGTCTAAAAATTTTAAATTAAGTGCCTCGCTTTTCGGGCATTCGATGGATATAAGAGCTTTGGCTGTGACACCAAGTAACGATATTATTAGTGGTTCCAGAGATCGGACTGCCAAATATTGGAAATATAATCCGTAAGTATATTTTCATCCATCAAAATTTCATTATTAAACTCACCTAATTGGTAGATATATTTCTAAATTCCAGTTTAATTAAATGTACAGCCAAAATTAATTTAAATCTAAATTTCTATTTTTGATAGGTTACAAAATAATTATAGTGAGGTAATGACCTACAAGAGCCATGAAAATTTTGTCGGTAGTGTATTATATCTAGAACCAACTAGTGAATATCCGGATGGACTGGTGGTGACCGGTGGTTATGATAAAGCTATATTTATTTTCAAACCTGGAGAACCTTTTCCAACTTACTCAATCAAAGGTGAACATGCAAATACTGGTAAGTGTTAATTGGATTATCTTGTGGCTTTGTAATACTTATTCAATTTTTGCAACTGTACAGCATATTAAACAACTATTAATACAACTCACTAAAACCTGTAAACAAACAAGGACACAGGGTAACAAAAAAGAACACATAATCATAAAACGTTTTATTAATTTAAAATAAAATAAATTTAAAAAATATTACTGGCTATAAAAATTAAATAAACATTTTAAAAACAAAAAAATTAAAACTTAATTTTTAAGTATCTAGCTTATCTTACCTTTTACTTTACTTATGAACGTATAGGTATCCATTAATAATAAGGAGGTACAAACTAAACATTAAACACTACTCTATTGTATTATATCCTCACTAATGAATAAAAATATAAAACAATTTGGGATGGTATAATAGTGCAATAAAGTTGTGCTTGCTTATTACTTAAAAGTACCTATATTTTTTTCTGACTTGGCCACTATGTTGTTTGAACAACTAGCTGAAATCCAGGACAATATGCCTCCTTTTTAAGGGCTATGTGCCACACTACAGTGACAGAAGTGGGACAATAGTTCTTTTAGATCATAGTGACACCTCATAAACTATATAGCTTATTATACAACTTACTATACAGAATAGAATAGACCTACTTTATTTGTTTAAATAAACATAAACCGTTTTTAGCATAGTCAACATATCCCAAAAAAATATTTTAATTGACATGTATTTTATATTTTAATTGTTCTTCAACAGAATCATAAAATAAGATAGTTGAATCATCTGCATAGAGAATTGTGAATGCATGGTAAAGTAATTCTGGAAGTTAGTTCATTTATATAAATTGTGAAAAGTATGGGAGCTAATACTGACCCTTGGGGTACTCCTATATTATTTGTTACTTCTTGACATGGAATTAAATCCAAGTAAATGCCACTCAATCAGTTTTAACTGAAAATATGTATTCTGTGTTATTGTATTGTTTTAATGGGCTCTCACGTAGAAATAAATAAAAGTAGTTTAATAGTTATAAGTTACAATAATAAATAAGTTACAACAAAGTACAATAATGGAAACCAATTATATAATAACAAAAACCTAGATGAGAACACCTGTATGTGCTGACAAAAATTTAAATTTTATTTTAATTATATTTAATGAATTATAAAGGAAATAAAAATTAAAACAATTTATGCAAGAAACTGAAAAAAAAAAACTATTTAAAAAAAATCCATGTATTAAGTCCATTATTCTTGGAATATTCTGATAAACTTTGCATTATTTTGGAAAATGTATATTTTGCTAACTTTACAGAATTTTTTATATTTGTTTAATAATTTTATATGAAGAGGTAGAATTTTGTCTCCAGATAATTTACACTGTTTTTAAAAAACTCATTATTTGGTTTTGGTACTTTAATGCACATGTTCAATGCAGTTCTAGTGTTATGTCTATGTTCTAAAAGGTTTTTTAAAAATTCATTTTTTTGTATGTAGCAACACACTGGGTGAATATATAAACATCTAACATTGCTAATTTTTTCATTATATAAAGTTATGGTGGGACACAATCTATCTCTTTCATATATTAACTTGAAGATTTTGTTTTGAATAACATTTAACTGATTTAATGTAGTTCCATACAGCCCTCCTCATACTAAGATTCCATACCGTAGTATAGATTCTACTAGACTGTAGTATAATGTTATTAGTAGATCCTGGTTGCGAAATTGTTTTAGAAGATAAAATTTATAAATCAGAAATCTAAGTTTTTTTGCTATATATATTATATGGCAGTCCCATTTTAAGTGCTGGTCTATAATTATACTTAAATATTTGGATGTTTCTGTTTCCTGTGTCTAAATTTTGACAAGTTAAGCTTCTAAATTGAGGTCGATCAGCCACTGTCTTTGAAAAAGCAATGTAGTTTGTTTTAGTAACATTCAAAGACAATTTAAAAACATCCAGCCAGTTTTTGACATGTTCCATTCCAGCTATAGCACATGTCTTGATGACTTCCCAATCTTTATCACTGAAGACTAGCACTGTATCATCAGCATATGATACAACTTTACCTTGAATATCAATCTAAGTTAAGCTCTTAATGTATAAACTAAATAGTATAGGTCCCAACACAGTCCCTTGAGGCACTCCGATTTGTATATTTTCAGGGTTACTCACATTGTCTCTAACCTTCACCTTCTGTTGTCTGTGTGTCAAATAATTTTCAAAAACCTTCAACACGATGCCCCTCACTCCATTCTGTTCAAGAACATTTAAGAGCTTCTGATGTGGCACCGTGTCAAATGCTTTTGCTAGACCTAGAAATATACACTTGTTACTAGTATTCATTTCATCAGTAACATATGAAATCAATTCATGCATAGCATCTCCTGAGTTAAGACCCTCAGTAAAGAAATATTGGTGCTTGGAAAGTAAGTCATTAGTTTTTAAAAAATCTTTCAGTCTATCTTTCACACATTTCTCAAATATTTTAGCCACATTACTAATTAAACTAATAGGCCTATAGTTAGTTATTAATTTTGGATTACCAGCTTTATAAATAGGTGTTATAATTGAAGTTTTAAAATGTTTAGGTATGATTCCCATATTAAAAATACAATTAATTATATGCATTAAAGGTTCCAGTAAATACGGATGTAGTAGTTTCAGATGTTTTACTGTTATACAATCAAATCGCGGGGGAATATTGTTTTTTAAATTATTTATGTGTTTTATAATATCGTTTTTGTATATCGGTTTCAGAAACATTGATTTTTCAGTGACATTTACAGGAAAATCCACATTACATTCAGGGATATTTGTGAACATATTAGTGCCAATAGTCAAAAAATAATTCCTATTGCAGTAATTCGCCATTTCATTATTATTATCAAATTCCTCATTATGTTGGTTAACAATCTGTAAATTGGTATTATTTTTTTTATAATTTTCATTAGTTGCTTCAGAGATTAATTGATATGTTTTTTTCAGATCATTTTTGTTTTGGTTTATTTTATTGTTATAATAGTCATTTTTAGGTTTTGATATTAGTTTGTCTAAATTATTTCTAAATGTTTTATAGTGAGTTTGTTTGTTAATAGTGTAGTTTTTTTGTAGATCTTTTTTAAGTTTATCCCTAGTTTTAATAAAATTAATTAAACCATTTGTTATCCATGGCTTTATTTTTTTTATGGACTTTAATTTTAATATTTTGAGTGGTTTGACATGTTTCAATGATATTAAGATACATGTCATAAAAAAGTTGTGTTGCAATTTCTGGATTATTTTCATTGCAAACACTTTCCCAGTTTACAGTTTCGAATTTTTAATTTATCAGTATCGATTTTAGTTATAGTTTTATATATATATTGTAGGAACTTGTGTAGTTTTTGGCAGATTGTGAGATATTTATCATAATAGGATCATGATCAGACATATCATAGCTGATTACATAAGAGTTCACCGATAGATTTTTAGTCTTAATATTGTTTTTTAAGAATATATGATCCAAGCATGTTTTAGGGTCGACCAAAACTGTTTTGGTCGACCCTGTAGAAATAAATATTCAAATAATTACATCCTTGTAAAGACGATTAGAAGACCTTTCCAATGAGGTGTTTTGAGACACATGGTTGCATTTAAAAAAATTGCCGATTACGTCACCACGGTAATACGGGTGACGTAATGTTCGTTACATCTACATCATGTGATGATGATTCAAAAATTAAAATTGACCTGTTTTTGGATTTTTTTCAAAAGTCGATTATTTTAGAAATAATGAATTTATTCCATACATTAGCGACATACTGTATATATTTTATTAGACATAGACACATAATTCAAAGCATCCAAAGTCCTGCATTTTCGCCATTAAGAAGAAAAGAAGTGGCCGAAGAATATAGAAAACACCTTAGCATTGTAACTAAAATGTATCAAAAATGGTCTGTTATTGTAAACGTCAAAAAATTTCCAGTATAATTCGCTGTTGGGTACCCCACGAGAAAAAAATGTCCACTAAATTACCTCCGTTGCCATGGTGATCTGTCAAAACACGTATTTTGATTGGTTCAAAATTACAGGTGTGGAATTTTCAGTTTAATAATAATTTTTGGAGGATTAGGTTTTCGTTCATTATCTTCTTTTTGTAACTTCACCATATCAGCATAAGAAATGGTAGGTACAATATTTATCTCTTTTTCTTCAAATTCTTTAATTTTCTCTTGAAGCATTTTTATTATTTCATTTTTACTATTTATTATTTCATCCTTATCTTCATTAGTCTTCTTTAGAAAATCAGTCAGTTCATAATTCCGATATTTTGCACAATGAAATTTCAGAATTCTAGTGCGTAGTGGTATACACTTAATTTCTGTGGTTGATAATTCAGAACATTGGTTGCAGTATAATCTACATCCATCACATGTAGAGCATGGATATTTTTGTTCTTTTGTAGGCTGATGAATAATCTCACACTGAGCATTTCATTGTCATTTTTCTTATTAAATAATTTTCTTATTTTATAAACTAAATGTGGGTACGCCACTGGATATTCTATTTGTATGATTGCTTAGTAGAAAGTATTGGTGTTTATTTTATTTCACCTAAACTTTTTTGTCATCTGATAAGGTTTGGTACTTTTTTGCGTTTTTTGTTTCCTTGGTAGATTTTATTTCGGTGAAATTGCAGAGATAATGCATTAATCTATGCAATTGTGACTCACCTAAATAGTTTATTTACTACACTATAGTACTATCACATTTTATTTAATTCACTAGTTGTTTTTTTTTACATTATATAGTTTATATCGGTAGAAATATAGATTTATTTGCGCAGTGAAACGAACACGTTTTCTCACCTTGAATAAAAATATGTACTTTAGAATTTATTATACAATTAACTTATACAACTTATTTTACATATATTTTCTAATTTTTCAATTCCAGTATGTGGTCTGTCTAAAGGCCAAAGTAAAAACAGCTTTTTAAGCGCCTCGTGGGACAACACCGCCAAATACTGGTCATTATCTTCGTCTACTTCTAAGCCAGTACATACTCTTACTGGACATACAGCTGCAGTTTGGTATGTCATTCAAATTGGGGATGGTCGCATTGTTACTGCGTCTGCCGATAAAACCATGCTAGTCTGGTCGGAAACTGGTCAAAGACTGAATGCTTTAGCGGGTAATTAAATTAGGTTGGGATATACAGTGACGAGACTGATTTTTTTATAGAGACCTACATTTATTTAATAGATGTTTCTTACAAATAATATTTTTGTGCAATAAAGGAAAGTTCAAATATTAACCAGCTGTAATTCACTAACACCCTGTATACAGGTTTAAACCAAAACCACTTGCTTAAACGGTTTGACGTCGAAATCTGAAATTTTTTGGAGTTAGACATTTTTTCTCACAAGTCATTGCGAATTTTTAATCTGAGTAAATTTTTAAGCAGTGCCGCCATCTTCAGTTTTTTTTAACGACAATGTAGGTCGTGTTGTACATCATTTGAAAGAGCTCGAAAACCTGAGTATAGAAATGTATAATTTTTTTTTTCTGAAAAGGTATCATACTATGGAAATTTTCTATTATGAAAATTAGTCACTTTGGTTGTGGAAATAAACAGTCTCGTCATTTTATTACCCAATTTCATAAATAAAATTAAAAAAAGAAAAACAGCGACTGTTTTTTAAACCATTACAGGACATACTGACGCTGTTAGATGTTTAGAAGATTTTCCAGATTTAAAATATTTTATAAGCGTATCTAACGATGCTACTATTAGGATTTGGAGTTACGAAGGCGAGAATATAAACACACTGTATGGACATAAAAGTTTTATTTACAGGTAAAGTATTATCATTTTTAAGCAACTGATATTTTGTTCAAAAGACCATGTCAAACTTAAATAATTGTTTACCAAATTAACGAAACCCTGCCATTCATGTTTTACTGTTTCTACGTTTAATTTTATGTTTATAACATTGATTTTAACATTTATTAGTATAGCGAGATGTCGAGCGCATGGTATGGACAGTTTCGTGACGTCTGACGAAGATAGAACGGTAAATTTTTGGCAAAATCAGGAAATTAAGACCAATTTGGAATTGCCTGCGCAATCAGTTTGGGCTGTAGCCGGTTTACCTAATGGCGATATTGTTACCGGCACCAGGTAAAAAGTCTTAACCTCATATTTAAAAAAACGAACAGCCTTTTGTTATTTTTGTTTTTCTGAATCCTAAAGTGATGGCATCGTGAGGATATTTACACAAGACGAAGGTAGGGTAGCCGAAGAAGCTAATTTGGTTAAGTACGCCGAAGAGGTGATGGCTCTCAAGAGGCAGGCGTTGCAGGAAATTGGCGGAGTTAAAGTATCAGAGTAAGTAGTTTTTTATAATATTACTATTTTGATATCTAGAAAGCTTCGCTGTGTTTCATTTTTAAGCGGGGTTGCAAAAAATCAAAAATTTCATTAAAAAATGTAAATTTTATATTAATTCCAACTTTTCCAATTAATTCAGACTTTTATGAATTAATTCAGATTTTAAAAAATCAAAATTTTATTCACTTACTAAAATAATACAAAAACAACAAAAAAAAACTAATTTTTTATTTTCTTTCAATTTTAAACAATCAAATAACAAAATGATATTTTTGCAAAACAAACTGAATATTGATTGATTAAATATTAAATACATACGAAACTTATTACTTATTTAGAATCGTCATTAGAAAAAATAGTTTTCCGACGATTTATTTCTCTTTAGGAACATTTTTAGAACTACTTTTGTATTTTTGCATGCAGCCTTACCATAGCTTACAAGGTTTAGCTACATGCTTTATACACTGCTCGTTAGTTGGTTGGATATTGTTTATGAACTCTTTAAAATATTTACAAATATAATCTCTTTTTCTTCCATTCATTTTTCACATGATAAAAAAATATTAAAATATTAAAAAAATTTGCGCTTTTTTCGCTAAATTGGCAACACTGGTAATGCCGCTATTATGTTGTATCTCCTCTTTGTTTTCGGTCTTTTGTTCTTATTGGAAAAAGTTTGAAATAATTTAGTGTTTTTTTTTAGAAAATATTTGAATTAAATCACTGACTTAATTCATAATAATTCATTCGTGCCACCTCTGTTTTTAAGTGACATCAGTTCAAAACATGGTCTATAACACTGTTATCTGAAAATGTCTCATAATGTTCTTCTTAAAATTTCGATGTAATCTTATATTTTCCATTGTTTTTCCACAAATCGAGTTTTAGTTCAATTGATAATTTTGAATAATTGCTTAATTTGAAATATTTAGTTTCCAACATTTTTTTTGTTGGAAACTACTTCATGAGTGTAACAGGTAAAAACCTAAGAGGTTGAGCACGTGACGTAGATCTTGTTTATTTACATCTGGAATGTAAAAAAATGGAATAAAAGGCAAAAATAACAAAAAATATGCAAAAATAGAGAAAGTCAGGGCATGAATATGAACATTTTTATTTTATATTTTTGATAACCAAGTAATATATTATGTATATATACAATGTGTCCATTTTAGTTTGCAGTATATGGAAAACTTTTTTTTTATTAACTTTACGAAAAAAAGTTATTCTATATAAAAAGTTCTGTATGGTCTGAAACCCAAAATGCAACCATCACATATCACGTTTTTACAATATTATAAGAAGTATGTCAAATAATATGAATTTTGCCTTTATTTTTGACAAACCTCGTATTTCAATCTTTTGTTCCTATTGAAAAAAATTTGAAATAATTCATAAGAATTAATTCGTACCAACTCTGTTTATAAGTGACATCATTCAAAACGTGGTCTATAACATTGTTATCTAAAAAAACTCGTAATGTTCTTGATGAAATTTCGATGTAATCTTATATTTTCCATTGTTTTTCCACAAATCGTGTTTAAGTTCAATTGATAATTTTGAATAATTTGCTTATTTTGAAATAATTAACTTATTTTCAAATATTTAGCTTCCGAAAATTTTTTGTTGAAAACTACTTCATGAGTGTAACCGGTAAAAACCTAAGTGATTGAACACGTGACGTAGATCTTGTTTATTTACATCTGGAATGTGAAGAAAAAAATAGAATAGGCAAAAATAACAAAAAATAAGCAAAAATAGAGAAAGTACGGACATGAATATGAACAATTTTATTTTATATTTTTAATAATTAAGTAATATATTATGTATATCCACTTAAGTTCGCAGCATTTGGGAAACTTGTTTATTAAGTTTACGAAAAAAAGTTATTCTTCATAAAAAGTTCTGTATGGCCTGAAACCCAAAATGCAACCATCAGATATCAAATTTTTACAATTGTATAAGTATGTAAAATAATATGAATTTTTCCTTTATTTTTGACAAACCTCGTATTTCAGTCTTTTGTTCTTATTGGAAAAAGTTTGAAATAATTAGTGATTTTTTTTAGAAAGTGTCATTTGAATTAAATCACTGACTTAATTCATAAAAATTAATTCGTGCCAACTCTGTTTTTAAATGACTTCAGTTCAAAACAGGGTCTATAACACTCATCTGAAAGAAATTCATAATGTTCTTGATACAATTTCGATGTAATCTTATATTTTCCATTGTTTTTCCACAAATCCAGTTTTAGTTAAATTGATAATTTTGAATAATTTGCTTATTTTGAAATATTTTAATTTCCGGACATTTTTTGTTATAAATTTCACTTCGTGTGTGAAACTGGTAAAAACCTAAGAGGTAGAGCACACGACGTAGATCTTGTTTATTTATATCTGGAATGTGAAGAAAAAAATAGAATAGGCAAAAAAAAATATCGCGACGAATTGATAACCTCTTTTTTTGAAGTCGGTTAAAAATAACAAAAAATAAGTAAAAATAAAGAAAGTACGGACGAATATGAACATTTTTATTTATATTTTTGATGAATATGGTCTATCTGAAGCCAACCCAGAAAGTAATTAAATTAAATTACTGACTTAATTCATAATAATTAATTCATACCAACTGTGTTTTTAAGTGATATTAGTTCAAAACGTGGTCTATAACACTGTTATCTAAAGTAAACTTATAATGTTCTTGTTAAAATTTCCATGTAATCTTATATTTTCCATTGTTTTTCCACAAATCGAGTTTGGATAATATTGAATAATTTGCTTATTTTAAAATATTTAGTTTTCGAAAATTGTTTGTCAAAAACTACTTCATGAGTGTAACCGGAAAATCCTAAGACGTAGATCTTGTTTATTTACACCTGGCATGTAAATAAGTAAAGTAAAAAAATAAATAGGCAAAAATAATGAAAAATAAGCAAAAATAGAGAAACTATTTTAGCATTTAATTTAGCGCATGGGAAAGGGTTTGTTCGATGCAATCGCCACTTTCTGTTGTCAAAAACATTATGTAAACAGGGTAAAAATTATTTCCAGCTTGCCAGGCAAAGAAGCCTTGTACGACCCAGGCAAGAGGAACGGACAGATGAAGATGGTCAGGGACGGACAGACCGTGATTGCGTACACGTGGGTGGAAGACGGCGAAAACAGCCATTGGGATAAAATTGGCGAAGTTCTAGGCGGTAGCGATAAAGACGAAAACGGTCGGACCGTATTCGAAGGGGAGGTAATAAATACATAACATATACCGAGTAACGTTTCATGTAATGCCGATTTTGATGCGGGGTTCTATTTATTTCAGGCGTACGATTTTGTATTTTCAGTCGACGTGGAGGACGGGAAACCGGCTATTAAGTTACCTTACAATAGAGGCGATGATCCGTATCAGGCGGCTCACAAATTTTTAGCTAAGCATAATTTGCCCGGAGATTATTTAGAACAAGTAGTTAATTTCATACTGACGAACAGTAAAGAGCAATACGTACCACCTAGTAACGATTTTCAAGATCCCTTTACCGGTGGCTCGAGGTACACCCCCAGCTACGGCGTTGATAATCAAGGACAAAGGGGACTCAACCTAGATCCTTTTACGGGTAAGTTTCCTGGAAAGAGGTGTTTTTTCGTTTTGTGGGTTTACTTGTGATTTCTGGAGTCTAGAAGTTTTCTTGATGGTTCATGTAGAAGGTTTAAAATGATGTGCTGCACTCAATAATGTAACGTTTTTAAAATATTTATTTCATTGTTTCTAAAATAGTTGTAGTGAGCTGGTTAAAAGGTAATAATAGAATGAATGTGTAAAAAATATTGTTACGTTACGCGCCCTGTCTGGTGATCGGACCAATGAATGTTTCGCAATAAACATTGGCGACAATCAACCGTTGTACTTAATTGCCTACATCCGGTTCCTATTGAAAAAAGTTTGAAATAAATAGTGATTTTTTTTAGAAAGTCATTTGAATTAATTCATAAGAATTCATTCGTGACAACTTTGTTTTAAGTGACATCAGTTCAAAACATGGTCTATAACACTGTTATCTGAAGTAAACTTATAATGATCTTGTTAAAATTTCAATGTAATCTTATATTTTCCATTGTTTTTCCACAAATGGAGTTTTAGTTCAATTAATAATTTTGATTAATTTTCTAATTTTATTTAATTTCCGAAAATTCTTTGTTGAAAACTTTACTTCATGAGTGTAACCGGTAAAAACCTAAGAGGTTGAGCACGTGACCGGTAAAAACCTAAGAGCACGTGACGTAGATTTTGTTTATTTACATCTAGCATGTAAACTGGCGCGAAAATAAATATGACTACGTGACATCTTTTGCAGGTAGTAGCAGTTATTCGTCGGCGATGGGAGGTCCTCCTAAGCAACGACCGGCGTCCGCCGGTTCCAATAACGACCCGTTCACGGGCAATTCCAGTTACACGACTATGAAACAGGACGCGAGCGGAGGGTTCTTCCCCGTCAAGTCGTACCACAGTTTCGACGTGGGCGATGCCGGCGTTATATTGAAGAAGTTGAAGGAGTTCAACGAGAAGTGCGGCGACGGTAACGATAAGTTGAGCGACAATGATCTGGAGGATTTCGTTAAATTGTGTGCCGGACCGCCGAGCGATGGGAACGCTGTAGATGTACTTTTTAAGTTGTTGGAGTGGCCTGACAGTAAGTGGGAGGTATTTTTAATTCCGCGTTTTGTTTTTTTTTTATTTTCCATAATTTTTCCAGTTATTACCATTTATATTCCAATTTTGTTACTATTTTATTCCATTTTTATTTAAATTCTATTTTTCTTCCGTTTTCTCTACTATTTTTCCTCATTTTTTCCATTTTTATTTATTTATTTTTCATCAATTTATTCTATTTTCATTCTATTTTAATTCCGTTTTTCCTCATTATTTACTGTTTTTCAGTATTTTTATTAAATTTTCATTGTATTTTTATACCATTTTCCCCCACTATTTACTATTTTTGCTCATTTTTATTACGTTTTTTATTTCATTTTTATTCCATTTTCCCTACCTTTTTCTATTTTTATTAATTTTTTGTTCCATTTTTATTCCATTTTCATTCTATAATTATTTCGGTTTTCCACGTTATTTACCGTTTTTTGACATTTTCATTCCATTTTTATTCCGCATGTCCCCATTATTTTATGTTTTTCAGCATTATTTATTATTTTTCTCATTTTTATTCATTTTTAAATTTTTTATTCCAATTTATTCTTTTTATTCCATTTGTATTCCATTTTTATTCTATTTTTATTCCATTGTTATTCCATTTGTCCTCTTTATTTACCATTTTTCAGTATCTTTATTCCAATTTTTCCTTAGTTTTATTAAATTTTTATTAAATTTTTATTCCAGTTTTATTCCATTTTTAATCTATTTTGTTCCATCTTCATTCTATTTTATTCCTGTTTCCCCCATTATTGACTGTTTTTTAGCAATTTTATTCTATTTTATTTTATATTCAATTAATTTTTCCGTTTTTCCGAATATTATTATTTTTCTCATTTTTTTTTCATTTTCATTCCATTTTCATTTTATTTTTATTCCATTTTTCCTTATTTCTGTTTTTCAGCATTTTCTTTTCACATTTATTCCGTTTTCCGCACTATTTACTATTTTTCCTTATTTTTGTTCCATTTTTAATTCATTTCATTCTATTTTTATCCCGTTTTTTCCCATTATTTACTACGTTTTCTCATTTTTATTCCATTTTATTTCATTTTATTTTTATTCTATTTTATTCCATTTTTATTCCATTTTCAGCTTTATTTGCTATTTTTCAGCATTTTTATTCCATTTTAATTCTATGATTATTCCGTTTTTACCAATTATTTACTGTTTTTTTTTGTATTTTCATTCCATTTTTATTTCGTTCTCCCCCATTATTTACTGTTTTTCACCATTATTTATCATTTTTATTCCAATTTATTCTATTTTTATTCCATTTTCAATTAATTTTTTTAGTATTCCCGATTATTTATTATTTTTCTCATTTTTATTCCATTTTCATTCCATGTTTATTTCATGTTTATTCCGTTTTCCCCCACCATTTTCTATTTTTCTTCATTTTTTATTCCATTTTCATTCTATGATTCCGGTTTTCCTCATTATTTACCGTTTTTTTGGCATTTTCATTCCATTTTTATTCCGTATACCTCCGTTATTTACTGTTTTTCAGCAATATTTATTATTTTTCTCATGTTTAATCATTTTTTTAAATTTCTATTCCAATTTATTCAATTTTTATTCTACTTTTATTAATTTTTTCCTCTTTATTTACTGTTTTTCAGTATCTTTATTCCAATTTCAGCCTATTTTTATTCCATTTTCCTCACCTATTTGCTATTTTTCTTTATTTTTATTCCAGTTTTATTTCATTTTTAATTTATTTTATTCCATTTTTTTTTCTTTTTCCCATGATTTTCTATATTTCATAATTTTCATTCCATTTTTATTCCATTTTCATTTCATTTTTATTCCATTTTCATTCTATTTTTATTTCGTTTTTCCTTATTATTTTCTATTTTCCAAACATTTTCATTTAATTTTTATTCCGTTTTCCCCACTATTTACTATTTTTCATTTGAGTCTATTCCATTTTCAATCTATTTTTATTCCGTTTTTCCCCATTATTTATCATGTTTTGCCATTTTTATTCGATTTTATTCCATTTTATTTTTATTCTATTTTATTCCATGTTATTCTATTTTTATTCCATTTTCAGCTTTATTTGCTTTTTTTACAGCATTTTTATTCTATTTTTGTCTTTTTTTTGAACAATATTTAATTAAATTTCATTTTCATATGTAACTTCCTCTTTTTTATATATTGACCAATTTTTCACATTTTTTAAAGACTAATTTTCCCCTTTTCATCAGTGTTCATTCATGTTTTTCCACCTTTTAATTTTTATCATTTCTTTTCTTATATTATTTCCTATTTTTTAAATAACCGTTCGATTCATTCCATTTTCAGATATAATTTTCCCCGTTCTGGACGTCATACGACTGGCTGTTAGGCACAAATTAAACAACGAGGTCATTTCGTCGGTGAACAACGGCGTGATAATGGAAAAAATAAAAACCTACATCAGTTCCGAATGTAAAATACAAAACAACATGATCATAGCCCTCAGGACCATCGCCAATTTGTGTTTGCACGACCACGGCGAAAATTTAGTCTTCAACAATCGATTCGACATCTTGGAGAACTTCACCTCGTTGCCGTTGCTCAACAAGAATTGTCAAGTAAGTTGCACTGTAGTAAATAATTCATTAATAGTAATTTATACAATAATAATACAAAATTAGATATATGTCATAAAAACATTCATTTAGTAAAAAAAATGTTTTACTTATTTTAACAGTTTATTATTTAATTTATTTACAACACTACTTTATTTCAAACACTTATTAATTTATTTTGTCAATATTTATCTTAATATCACCAATATCTCGACTTAAACTGACTCCTACAACAATAAAACAGCCTATTTATACATATCAGTGATTTCTAGAATGTTAATTTTGGGGGATTTGCGAACATTTTTGACAGTACCTAGGCTAAAAATTTTAAATTAGTTATTACTCTAGGTACATCAAGTTTTTCGTATTCTAAAGGTATTTCTATTTTATTTATTTTGTTCTAATACCATTCCTAATTTATTTTTAATCTCCAATAGACATAATACATGAAGTTTTTCATATTTTTAAAGTATTTATTATTTTGTTTGAGAAAAAGTGACGATTTCTAGTTTATTTATTTTGTTTGAGAAAGAGTGACAATTTACAATTATACTAAGATTATTCCTAATTAATTTTGGATCTTTTCAATAGACATAATACATCAACTTTTTCTTATTCTAAAAGTATTTATTTTGTTTTAGAAAGAGTGATAATTTCTATTTTGTTTATTAGTTTGTTTGAGAAAGGGTGACAATCTCTATTTCATTTATTTTGTTTGAGAGTGACAATTTACAAATATACTAAGATCATTCCTAATTAATTTTGTATCTTTCCAATATACATACTAAGTCAAGTTTTTCATGTTCTAAATTATTTTTATTTTATTTATTTTGTTTGAGAATAAGATACAATTTCTATTTTATTTATTTGGTTTTAGGAAGAGTGACAATTTCTATTTTGTTTATTAGTTTGAGAAAGAGTGACAATTTACAAATATACTAAGAGCATTCCTAATTAATTTTGTATTTTTCCAATATACATGCTACGTCAAGTTTTTCATGTTCTAAATTGTTTTTATTTTATTTTGTGTGAGAATGAGTGACAATTTCTATTTTATTTATTTTGTTTGAGAAAGAGTGACAATTTACAATTATACTAAGATTATTCCTAATTAGTTTTGGATCTTTTCAATAGACATAATACATCAACTTTTTCTTATTCTAAAAGTATTTATTTTGTTTTAGAAAGAGTGATAATTTCTATTTTGTTAATTAGTTTGTTTGAGAAAGAGTGACAATCTCTATTTCATTTATTTTGTTTGAGAGTGACAATTTACAAATATACTAAGATCATTCCTAATTAATTTTGTATCTTTCCAATATACATACTACGTCAAGTTTTTCATGTTCTAAATTATTTTTATTTTATTTATTTTGTTTGAGAATGAGACAATTTCTATTTTATTTATTTTGTTTTAGGAAGAGTAACAATTTCTATTTTGTTTATTAGTTTGAGAAAGAGTGACAATTTACAAATATACTAAGAGCATTCCTAATTAATTTTGTATTTTTCCAATATACATACTACGTCAAGTTTTTCATGTTTTAAATTGTTTTTATTTTATTTTGTGTGAGAATGAGTGACAATTTCTATTTTATTTATTTTGTTTGAGAAAGAGTGACAATTTACAATTATACTAGGATTATTCCTAATTAATTTTGGATCTTTTCAATAGACATAATACATCAACTTTTTTATATTCTAAAAGTATTTATTTTGTTTTAGAAAGAGTGACAATTTCTATTTTGTTTATTATTTCGTTTGAGAGTGAGTGACAATTTGTATTTTATTTATTTTGTTTGAGAAAGAGTGACAATTTACGATTATACTAAGATCATTCCTAATTAATTTTGGATCTTTTCAATAGATATAATACATCAAATTTTTCATATTGTAAAAGCATTTATTTTGTTTTAGAAAGAGTGACAATAGTAAATGAGCAACATGAATTCTAAAACAAGCCCCATGTTAAATCCCATAAAAAATCGCTAAGGTTCATTCTGCCAATTTTTACGGCGACGTCACGCGTCGAGGGTCTTATCAGTAACTGCACTTCTCGGGCCTCCAGCGGGGGAGTGGGAGGAGTGGGAGAATTAAATCTCCTTTAACGTTGAACGGAAAAATCATGCCAAAAGGGCCTAAGCGTGTATCTTTGTTATTGTTGGTCCGATTCAAACGGGAAAAAACGGCACTATATCGAGAACGTGGTATAGATTAACGTCGAACAGAAAAAAACATGCGCAATGTCAGAATGGCCTTAGCGTATATCTTTATTGCTATTGGTCCGATTCAAACGGGAAAAACGGCATTATGTAGAGAACGTGGTATAGATTAACGACGAAGAAAAAAAAACATGTATAAAGCCAGAATGGCCTTAGCGTGTATCTTTATTGCTATTGGTCCGATTCAAACGGGAAAAACTGCATTATGTAGAGAACTCGAAAATGTTGAAGAGAAAAATCATGCACAGTGACGGGCCACCGGCGCAGTGACAGGTCAAAAGGGCATAAAACGTATATCTTTCTTAACACAACACACGCGACGCACGCAATGTACGCAACACACGCAACGCACACCAGGCACGCTACATAGGCATGCATTTACAATGATCATGTATCTGGGACAAAAGGGCCTAAGCTTATAATTGTTATTATTAAACTGATTCTAACGGAGAAAACGGTATTCTACGTGAGATGTTATATAGTTGCCATTCGCAAGTACACATGCGCAGTGACAATGTCAAAAGGACCTAAACGTGTATCTCGGCTACTGTTAGTTGGATTTAAACGAGGAAAACAACATTATATAGAAAACATGGTATAGATGATCGTTGAAGAAAAAAATCGACGTTTCGTTTGACGTTTCGCATGACGTTTTCGTTTGACGTTTTCGTTTGACGTTTTCGTTTGACGTTTTCGTTTGACGTTTTCGTTTGACGTTTCGTTTGTAAGGCCATTCTGGCTTTTCGTTCTGCGCATGTTTTTTCTCTTCTACGTTAATTTATACCACGTTCTCTACATAATGCCGTTTTTCCCGTTTGACTCGGACCACGTGATACACGCTAAGGCCATTCTGGATTTTCGTTCTGCGCATGTTGTTTCCCTTCTACATTAATCTATACCACGTTCTCTTCATAATGCCGTTTTTCCGTTTGAATCTGACCAATAGCAATAAAGATACACGCTAAGGCCATTCTGGCTTTTTGTTCTGCGCATGTTTTTTCTTTTCAACGTTAATCTATAACACGTTCTCTACATAGTGTCGTTTCTCCCGTTTGAATCGGACCAATAGCAATAAAGATACACGCTAAGGGCAATTCTGGCATTGCGCATGTTTTTTCTGTTCGACGTTAATCTATACCACGTTCTCGATATAGTGCCGTTTTTCCCGTTTGAATCGGACCAACAATAACAAAGACACGCTTAGGCCCCTTTGACATGATTTTTCCGTTCAACGTTAATGGAGATTTAATTCCCTCCACTCCTCCCACCTCCCCCCCTTCCGCTCCCCCGCTAGCGGACCGAGAAGTTAGTTACCGATAAGATCCTCGACGCGTGACGTCACCGTAGAATTGGCAGAATGAACCTTAGCGCTTTCTTATGGGATTTAACATGGGGCTTGTTTTATAACTCTTGTTGCTCATTTACTGACAATTTCTGTTTTATTAGTTTGTTTGAGAAAGAGTGACATTTCTATTTCATTTATTTTGTTTGAGAGAGAGTGACAATTCACAAATATACTAAGATTATTCCTAATTTCATGTTCTAAATTATTTTTATTTTATTTATTTTGTTTGAGAATGAGTGACAATTTCTATTTTATTTATTTCGTTTGAGAAAGAGTGACAATTTACAATTATACTAAGATCAATCCTAATTAATTTTGTATCTTTCCAATATACATACTACGTCAAGTTTTTCATGTTTTAAATTATTTTTATGTTATTTATTTTGTTTGAGAATGAGTGACAATTTCTATTTTATTTATTTTGTTTGAGAAAGAGTGACAATTTACAATTATACTAAGATCATTCCTAATTAATTTTGAATCTCTCCAGTATACGTACTACGTCAAGGTTTTCATGTTCTAAATTATTTTAATTTTATTTATTTTGTTTGAGAATGAGTGACAATTTCTATTTTATTTATATTGTTTGAGAAAGAGTGACAATTTCTATTTTTAACCGACTTCTAAACAGGAGGAGGTTCTCAATTCGTCGCGATATATTTTTTTTATATATGTTCAGCGATATTTTTTTAACACGGTGGCCGATTTCAATGATTCTTTTTTTGTTAGAAAGGGGGTACTTCAGGGGTGGTCCCATATAAATTTGGTCAAAATCTAATAATTGGGTCCATGAGAAAATCCTCAAACTCTTCATTTTTTATGTATGTTTAGCGATTATGCTTTACCATCTTGTCCGATTTATGATTTTCTTTTTTTGTTAGTAAGGGGTACCTTAGGGGTGGTCCCATATAAATTTGGTTAAGATGTGATGGCATCTACACGTTTTTGAAGTCGTTTTTTTTTTAAAATTTTGAATTTATAATACTTGTATTTACTTTGTTTGAGAAAATTTACACTTATACAAGAACATTCCTAATTAATTTGGTATCATCACATTCACAAGAGATTACACACTTGATTTTTTCTACACTCACGACATATGACGTACAACTTCAAGATAATTATTTTTAGGTAGCCTTAGCAACCTGCCTGCTCAACCTAACGATCCTCACTATCAAAAACAATGACGAAATAGGTATAACCGTACTAGCGCAAGTACTACCCGATTTGATTACCAAACTAACGGAATGCGAACCACAATTTAGGGCGTACGTCGCGCTGGGTACCCTCATATCCTCGTCCACTGTCCATTTGGCTATGGTCAAGACTAAAGTGCAAGAAAACGCTGAGTTTTTGTCCGCCATGCAGTTGCACTCGTTCTCCAGTCAAAACGAAGCGGAGATCCGAAGGATGAATTGCGTGAAGCAGATTATGAATATATTATAAGTCGAGTGTTCCTTTAGCTTTTTTACAGTTTTTAAATGATATTGTAAGTTGTTGGGAGTGAAGTGGCCAATAAATAATTAGCTTTGTATGAGTTTTTTTGGGTAATTTTTTTAATTTTCTTAGGATTAGGTACTGCCGATGTGATAAAAAAAAAGAATAAGTAAGTCATATTTTTCGGAAATATTTTTTTTATAAAATTTATTATTAATTAATTCTCAACAATAATTATTATATTTCAGAATATTTATTTATAATTTTGCTTTTTTGGTTTTCGCATGTTTTAATGCTTCTTCTAACACGTCTAAAACGCGATCGATCGTCTGTGGAGTGCAGTTGAAGCCCATAACTCCGATTCTTAATATGTTTCCGGCCGTGGGTCCCAATCCTCCTGCTATTTCTACGTTGTGCCTAAAAACATTGAAAAATAGTAATTTATTCCAGACAATAACACTTGATTTTCAAACGTCACACTTTAAATGAATCGGTTATATAAACTAATCAACCACTAATTTAGTATACCCCAACTTATTTATTTGTAATCAAAATACATTCATTTATATTTACTTTAACAATTTATCTTTACTCGACAATATCTCTAAACTAAACTCAAACGGCAAAATAATCATTTATATTCAAACAAATTTACGCCCTAAACAAATCCAGTCCTGTCTCGAAGAATCTCAATTCTCTAGACGTTCTCGAAACCCTTCCTGTTGGAGTGCAACAGAACTTTGCAGTAACTTCTCGAGTCTCGATCGACCATCGGCAGTGGAACACAGGCGGTCAGCTGAACGGCGATAACGTAAACAAGGAAAAATGCAGGACTGGTTGAAAATGGCTCGCACGACAATGCCATTATTACTGAACTAAGCAGATACTTAAAAATGTGTATGTGCATCAGTAGACACTTAGTTTGTGACACGTCTCCTTGATTCACATGCCTGGAAGTGAAAATCGTGGGTGGCGCGGGCTGTTACTTAGAATAAGGGTTGCCAGTTTTGATAACGCAGTTTGCTTTGTGACACTCGAGATACCTATAATGCACTCAAAGTAGCCCCAGTGTTAATTCAGTTAATTCAAAGCGGTCACTTACAATTAAAAACCTAACACTGGTAATATCCACCTTTTTTTTTATTGTGTTTTACCCCATGTTAGTTCATAGTACCCACTCTATCACCTTTGTACCTTGTACAAGTTTGTACAGATCCTTGGGTGAGTGGGTTCTATACGTTGTTGGATCACCCTGGGGTTGTCCAAAAAGAGCCTGTCGTTTGCGATCTAGAGCTTCGCATTCGCACAGTATGTGTTTGGCCGTTTCTGGTTTCTTGTGACATAGTCGGCACATGAGTTCCCCATTGTACATACCAATTTTGTTCAAGTGTCCCTTTACTGGGGCGTGCCCAGTCATGAACCCTGTTATCACTTTCAACTGGTTCCTATTCATTAAGAGTAGTTCTCCAGTTCTTTTGGGACATGGTCTGCCTATGAAGGCTTTTCAATGTGCCTGTTTTGGGGTGCTTCCCCAATAGTTGATATGTTGTTCCCGAATCCAGTCATTTATAAAACCCCGGACTGTACTTTTTGGTACTCCTGGGTTTGTGTCTGGTTCCGGTGTTTCTTCTGACCCTCTTTTTGCAAGTTCGTCAGCCTTTTCGTTGCCTTCGATCCCTTTGTGACCTGGCACCCAAAATAGTTTTACTCTATTTCGGTCTGCCAGTGTTCTTAGTTCTTCGATGCATTCCCATACCAGCCTCGACGTAACTTTCTGACTCGATATGGCCTTAAGTGCCGCTTGGCTGTCTGACATTATTTGAATATGCTGATTTTCGACAGCTCTTTCATTGTTCGTTTTTGCACATTGCAAAATTGCGTATACACCTCGGCCTGAAATACCGAGGAATGTATTCCTATAGCATAGCTATGGTTAGTATCAGGGTTTTTGGAGAATACTCCTGCCCCAGTGCCTTCCGCAGTCTTAGACCCGTCTGTATACCAGGTTTGTTCCTGTCGTTGGGCATTGGGCTCCCTAATGTTGATCTCCGCTCTTTCCTGTATTAAAACCTCAAAGGGAGTATTAAAAGAGTACCTCTTGGTTAAGTGGTCTGATCTCATGTCTAGCACGTCTCCTGTCACTAACCTTGAGATACTCATGTGACCTGGCCTAATGTCAAGATTTCCCAGTGTATTCCCTAATCTGTAAGCACCTAATCTTGCCTCCCCTTGTATCACATAGTGAAGAGGTGGGAGTCCTATTAGTGCTTCCATTGCAGCAGTGGGGGTTGTTTTCATTGCCCCCGTTATTCCGAGACAGGCAAGTCTTTGTACCTTGCTAAGCCTCGTTATTGCTTTCCTTTGCTGTGTCTTTGGCCACCACACTAAAGCTGCGTATGTTATTATGGGTCTCACCACCATGTTATAAATCCAATATACCATGTCTGGTTTTAACCCCCATTTTTTTTCCAAAGGATCGCCTTGCCATCATTAATGAGGTTTCCGCTCTCCTTGTGGTTCTTTCTAGATGCTGGTTCCAGGTAAGTCTCGAGTCAATCATAACCCCGAGATATTTTACCTCCCCTTTAAGCTGGATGCTTGCACCTCTTAGGTTTAGAGGCCCTAGTCCCTCCCAATTTCCTCCTGCGGGTGAATGCAATTATGTCAGATTTGTTTGGGCTAATGTTTAGTCCTTCCGCCTCTGTCCATTTTGTCACTATATTTAGAGCCTCTTGCATTCGATCTCTTACTATAAGTGTTGTATTTTCCCTGTGCTATGATCACTAGATCATCGGCATATCCCAGGGTTCTGTCCCTTATCTTTGAGAGCCCTAAGCAGCCCGTCCACTACAAGGTTCCACAGGAGTGAAGACAGCACTCCACCCTGTGGACATCCTCTCGCTACCCGTGCCGCTGTTGTCTCTCCCATAAGGGTTGTGTGTATAAGTTCTCTTCCTTAACATAGAGTCGATCCAGGACACGCATGTGTCCTCGATTCCTCTGTGTTTGAGAGATCTAATGATCGATTCAACGGAGGTATTGTCAAATGCACCCTCGATATCCAAGAATGCTCCCAGCATTACCTCCTTGTTTTCCAGTGTGTTCTCCACCCTTTTTATTAGTTGATGGAGAGCTGTTTCAGTTGATTTCCCTGCACTATAGGCGTATTGGTCTTGGTATATTGGCCTTTGAACCAATATCCCGTCTCTAATATGCCTATCTAGCAGTTTTTCCAAAGTCTTAAGTACGAAGGACATAAGACTTATTGGTCTTAGTGACTTTGCCGTTTCCTGTCCCATTTTCCCAGGTTTTGGTATAAAAGTTACCCTAATATTTCTCCAAGCTTTTGGTATGTGTCCAAAGGCCAGGCTACTTCTGAGTATATTACAGAGTCTGCTGTATAAAATATCAGGACCTCTTTGTAATATTATTGGATAAATCCCGTCCATGCCCGGTGATTTATATGGTTCGAATGAGCTAATTGCCCATTTCAGTTTATCATAGTTCACCACTTGTTTGGCTATCCTCCAATCTTCCCTGTTGGCTCTATTATGAGCTTCCAGTCTGTTTAGACTCCGGTTAGCCGGTGTGGTTTGTGCACCAGGGAAGTGAACCCTGAAGAGTTCCCTTACTGTTTCCTTCCCTGTGATTGTGTACTCCCCAAGTTCATTCTTAAGGGTGTTTATTGTGTGTTGTGTGTCTGTTGAGAGAATTTTTTGGAGCCTGGCACATTCTTGAGTGCTTGCCATCTCCTCACAGTGCCTTCTCCAAGACTCTTATCCACCTTACTCAACCCAAACGGTGTAATCACCTCGTATGTCTTACCCTAAAAAGATTCTGGAAGAGTGTGGGATCTTTTAAATGTATCCCATCAATAAATAAAAATGTACTTATAAAAGTATAATTTCATGTAATGAAACTCAATGTCATGACATGTATATAAATTATCAAAAAAACAAAAGTCATAATTATAAATAAACAATTCTTGTTTCCCTCCCAATGAGTTCAACCTTTTGTCTTGCTACAACTGCCACGAAAGGTTGTCTAAATGATGACAACAATTTAATTCGTATGACGTAATAAAAATGATAAAGATATGTAGTGCATGTCGCTACAAAGAGATAAATAAAAGGAGGTATAGAGAGACACAGAAAGTTTATACAAAATATTATATTTAAAACGGTAACCACAGTAGGGCAATACGAAACCCAAATAATTTTCGAGTGTATTTATAATAATTGCCCAAAAAAAAAATATAAAAAAGTAAGAAAATAAATAACATAAATCGGTAAAGGCGGAAATTCCTAATAAACGGTGAGAATCTTCAGATTATTTAATAGTATAATTAATCCAGTAAAAAAGTGTATATATAAAAAAAATTGATGTGTCCAACACATGACTTTCCTGTCTAGTTATTACAGGCATTTTCAGGTTATTTTGTACAATCTATTATATAACCAATGTAAATGTTTAGAGGATGAACTAAATACATTTTTCAAACACACCTTACTCGAAACACTTTTCTCCTCAGCGCTAATCTACGTTACATCTTCTTCATAGCGCCGTTTGTCCTGTTTGATTCAGATCAATAATAACGGAGATATACGTTAATATCCTTATGATTTTTTTCACTGTACATGATTTTTCTCTTCAACGTTAATATATGCCTCGTCCTCTACATAGTGCCGTTTTTCCCAGTCGAATCGGACCAGTAATGACGGAGACATTAACTAGTGCCCTTACGGTGTTGCTACTGCGCTTGATTTTTCTTTTCAGCGTTCATCTATACTCCGTCATCTATATAGTACCGTTTTTCACAGTAAAAGCGGACCAATAATAGCTGATATATAGGTTAATGCCCTTTTGACTTTGCCATTGCGCATGATTTTTCTAGTCAACGTTAATCTACATGTAATTTCCTCCACCTTCTGTTTTTCATAGTCGAATCGGACCAATAATAATGGCGGTATTCATTAATGCCCTTTTGACTGTTTGAATTGCGTATGATTTTTCTATTCAAAGTTAATATACGTCACAACAACGATGGCTGTCATCTTAGATCGCTAAGCCGAATCGCAAACCACCAATCCAAGTTTCAATTCTCAACACTACAGATAGCGCCATCTCGTGGCGACTTTTGGTACAAGTGAGCTCGTGTCCCCATATTACATCTACTTTTATATACATACATTCACTAGCAACGAAAATACTTAAAAATTAAAAATTTACAGAAAATGATATCGCAAACGACTTTTATTTGAACAATTTTCTTAAAAATTTGAATTTTTTGTTTTGTCAAATTTCTCGAATATGGACCATTTAAAAAAAAATTGTATAGGACCATAATTATAGAGAATAATATTACAAGCAACTTTTATTTAAAAAGTTTTCTTTAAGCGTAAATAACATAGTTCATAAAGTAGAAAAATGACCCTCTATAAAGTACCCCCAGATGTTTCGACTCTGCCCTCACCGAAGGCCGGAATAAAGCTTAAGTTTAAAATTTGGTATATTACTAGTGCAACCAATGTATCGGAAGTAATCACAAAATCAACAGGTTGAACACAACTAATGTTATTCTGACATCCTAAATATTTCACTCGGCATTACTATCGAAAAACAATATTTATTTTCCGATAAACTAAAAAAACAACGGCGCTAGCTGAACTGAGATAGCCCCGGGATAACGGTCGGATTTTCGGGGATAACGTTTATCCGTGATCGATGGTAGGTAGTGAATTAAAGATTTCACCGATTGCCGGAGTAGTGAACAGTCTATTGACTCTGGGAACCTTGGATGTTGAAAAATTAAGTCGGCGAAATAAGACTGCACTAATGATGCACTTCTCTCTATATAAAATGTTGCATCTGTTCGATATTAAAAAAATCACGGTAATTTTATTTCATAATACAACATTCCATTAAACATCTCCTTAGTAAAACTAATAGTTCATTATGAAGATGATGAAAAACCACTCCGTTTATTTTTCTTTAGAAATTTGCAACACTCGCGCAGGTTAAACACCGGTGTATATTACATCTCAAGTCTCTTTAATCTAAGGCTTTAGTGAATCATTTAATCATAACCAGATCAAGGGTTAATTAATATGAAATTAATTTATATAAAAAAGATATACTCAACCTTTTCATAGCATAATTTACCAACTCCATCCAATCGAAATCCTTCACAGTAACCGACGTTACAGTTATAAGCCTCTTATTTTCGTCCTTAACGAAAAATTCGAATCCTAAACGTTCGAGCCCTTCCTTGAGTCTCCGATAACCTTGTTCGTGTTTTTTCTGCCAGTTTTCCAAGCCTTCTTCTGCTATTATAGCTAAACTTTCCCTAAGAGCTACCAGTAACGTTGAACATGTTGTATGATGATATCTAAAAATTAGCAGGTAATTAGTACATGTTGAATCTTTAATTACCTTGGTAATAAAGAATGAGAATATATAGTGGAGTCTTCTAAACCAGTGGTTACCAATATTTTGTGGCAACCAATCCTTGGAAAATTACTTTTATATAACACCATACGAAAATGTAACTATAATAGTAAAATTTGTAGCTATAACAACTGTGTTTTATATTTATACCATGATACGATATAAAAATGTAATTATATCTTCTTTTAATTCTTCGAGGAACCATAATAGGTCTTCCTCGGTATCCTTGCATTCCCCACAACCTGCTTTGGGAACCGCTAACATAAACAACCAAGGGTAAAATGGTAAAAACTTTAGAATGAAAACCAAACATTGATTTGACACTTACGGTCTGACATTATTGTAACAATTCCACTGTTGTCCCAAAATCTTCATATCCCAGTAGTACACTTTGCTTTGCGTAGCCCTTCTAAAAATTTCTTTTCTAAAAAAATAAATAAAATTACGGTTACTAAATACAATTTTCAGTAACATTAATCAGTAACTCACTGTGCACTAGAACTGAAAGAAATTATAGTCACTCCTGGAGGGCCACCAAGGGCTTTTTGTACGCCAGCATAAGCTGCATCCACTCCCCATTTGTCCATTAAAAATGGTACCGCACCCACAGAAGCAACCACGTCTACAGCCAACAAACAATTGTACCTAAATATATACAATACGACTTTGAACCAACACGAATGAAAAAATGGTGCGCAAAATGATTGCCACCTAATGAAGGTCTCTTACTTATGACAAATATCTCCCAGTCCTTCTAAGGGTTGGTAGACACCAGTAGATGTTTCTCCTTGAACTATAAATAGTAACTTTGGACGTTCCTTTCTCAAAGCATCTTCTATTTCTTCAAAACCAAAATTATCGCCTAGAGATGTGACGATTTTGACAGCACTAGCACCTAAGGGCAAAATAGTGACCGTAGTGTTTGGATTGGTTCGTTTAAACGATTTTATGAGCTAGAATCTTTTGACTTACCATATCTTTCGGCCATGTTTGCAGCTCTCGATCCCCACAAGCCGTTAACAGCGATTAGCACCTTATCGTGTGGTTCCAACAGGTTGCTCATAACTGCTTCCATGCCTGAATGAGCACTGGCGCTTATAGCTAGAGTTAGTTCGTTTTTGGTTTGAAATACGTACTTGATGCCTTCTTTGATTTCGTCCATTATCTAAAAAAAAGAGATGAGATCGTTGGATACATTAATAACACTAGATTGGTATAGATATAGAAGAGTATAATGTTTTTCTGTGGTTTGTCAATAACTCATGGTTCCAATTTGTGTGGGTTAAGTTTTTGTATTCGGTTTTTTTTTTAATTAGTTGAATGGCTGTGGTAGGAACCAATTAGCCAGACTTTTGTTTCTGTTCCACGAATACTCAATATTGTTTCAAATCTACAAATACAAATGTTGGGTGATTAGGGAAGTTGATTTTGAGTAATAACTATAGCGCTTCCATACCAATTTTAACATATTCCGCCGCGTTAGATTGTAGAGTCACCAACGAGTTTATGGGATTTTTTTAGAGCCTTTCTTAGATGTCTTAAGAGTTATCTTGTCTTTGACTCTTTGAAGACTCATCCTTTTGAAATGAATAATTTTAAATAAAGTTTCGGTCGTTTCTTCGGAATATCAGGATGTCTGGAGCTGCTGCAGCATCTAAATTGGCCTTGCCAGGTCCCTTGAAAGCCATAGGAAAAAAAACCATTGAAATTGCTTCACAATGGGTTGGAGCTACTATGGGAGTTACTTTGTGTTACGCCACTGACTGGAGGGTAATTGTTGATTACATCCCTTATTACAACGGAAAATTTAAAGAAGAATAATGTGCTATACTCGGACAAAATATTGGAGAAGGTGAGTCATGCATGATCAACACTGTTTTCTATGAATTAAATTTCCGACAGAGTTCAGCATAGGCGGCGTATCAAATACCAAATAATTATTTATTAGGTATTTGTTAGTAAACTTTATTAAATTTGTTTGTCAACATCTTTATTTAAACAAAGATGATGCGTTAAATATACGTTTTTGATAGTTTTCAAGAAATGAATATATTTATTCCCTAATGACTTCGTTATCTGTGTTTAATGGTTTTAAAATGTGTTTGAAGTAAATAAACGACAAACGGGTTACAGATTGAATAGTGCCAGCATAGGCACAAAGACAGTTGAAAACTATCTTTCGACGAAGTTAGATTTACGATAATTATTTTATATATTATAAACACTTTTTTGTATAAGTGCTCTTTTCTGATATACGAGTAGGTGTTCATGTTTGTGCCTTACAATTTGGTGGTGGTAGTGCATATTGTCACGTTAAGTGGTTTGTTAGGCAAACCAATTAATCGTGGGGTACGCCACTGCGTATTTCGGATCGCCCAAACGATCTTCCAGTCGAGGAAGATCTTTGCGCCACCAGAAAATACTCACTGGAGAACCTTTCTTATGATTTACTGTTTGGCTTGGCTTTACGCTACTGGGGGAGGAATAAAAGTCACAAATAAAAAACTACAAATCTTTAATGAACACAAACTAAACTACCCAGAAATCCTCAATGTTATAATACACACATAATTTAGAGCTCTAGACTGGTAAATTAAGTTTTTCTGAAAATTATTCTGAATTTCCAGTAGCTCTATAATCGTGTTCTCATATTCATTGTCTAGATTCTCAGTTGTATCTCGGTATTTGAGAAATTGAATCTCTAGGTCATGAATATGTTTCTCTGTTTTCTTGAACGCTTAAGAAACCCCCAGCTCGTACTGCTTAAACTCCTTAGAGTTTTTCGTAAGGCCCTTTATTGTGGATGACATCCGATTGTTCAATCTTTGTACTTGAATTTGTATCTGATGCTCATCCATCACTAGTGAATCTAGCTTGTGTTGGGTCGCGACTCCGCAACACCAAGAAAGTCTAGAGCCCTTTTATTCCTTGTTTGTTGTTTTAGCGATATATCTTGTAGGAATTTGGGGCTCCAGCTTTCCTGGAGATCCTTAAACTCTCTAGTGTAAAGGTTTTGCAGCTGCCTAATGCTGTGCACTAGATTGCATTCTGCTGATATATTTCTAGCACAAGCCGGTTTTGACTCCTGAAGGGAGCCCTCGCTCATGTCGTACCACGAGGAGTTATATTTATTGTATAGTATATTAGGTAGGTACTTTAAAAGTTTATTAAATAGTAAAATATTGGTGTCTTTATAAATTTAATAAAAACAATTTAATAGTAGAATTATATTGTTACAATAGTAATGGATTCAGAGGCGGGTCCAAGTGAAACCCAATTACGTCGGCGAAAGCCCTTATCAAAGGATGAACATTATATGGAAAGTGTATGATGGGCTGAAACAGACACTTCCTACAAATGAAGCTGTACACCGCATTTCTTTTTTAACTGGAGTATCTGTTTCAACGCCCCAACACTTAAAGTTGCTCTTACGAAATTAAGAGAAAACAAAGAAATTCCATTAATGAGCCGTGAAACTTTACGAAAAATTTTATGGGGCCTAAAATTTCGTTTTGTCAAACGGTGTAGGAAATCAATTTTAATTGAGAGATCAGATATAGTGTCCTGGCGACGGCGTTATTTACGAAATATTAAAGAGTTTAGAGCCGCTAAGAAAAAGATATACTACCTCGATGAAACGTGGGTGAATGCTGGACACACGGTATCTAAGATATGGCAAGATACTTCTGTAACTAGTCATCGCCAAGCTTTTATAGAGGGATTATCTACAGGTTTGAAAGCACCATCAGGTAAAGGACAGCGCCTAATTGTTACCCATATCGGAAGTGACAGTGGATTTTTAGAAAATAACGCTCTTGTGTTTATATCGAAAAAAACAGGAGACTACCACGAGGACATGAATGCGGAATGCTTTGAAAAATGGTTTACTGAAGTATTACAGCGTGTAGAACGAAATTCAGTTATTGTACTAGATAACGCTTCTTATCACAGTCGACGAGTTGAACGCATTCCGATAATGTCCAGTAGGAAAGCGGATATGCAAACCTGGCTGCGGGATAAAGCAATAACATTACTGAGGAGATGCTTAAAGTGGAATTAATGGACCTAATAAAGGAACACTGCCATAAATATATTCAATATGTTGTCGACACAATGGCTCGTGATCGTGGTATTACGGTACTAAGACTTCCCCCTTATCACTGCGAATTCAATCCTATTGAACTAATTTGGGCGCAAGTGAAAGGGTTTGTAGCTCGAGAAAATAAAACTTTTAAAATAGCCGACGTTCAAAGTTTATTAAAAGCCGATATTAAACGTATATATAACCAACCTACTTTTATCTAGTAATATTCACAAATACCCATTTCATTTGCCAATATAGTATTTCTGCGACACTGGAATAGTGCATTTTAATATGATAACGATACCTTTTGCAGTTTAAGGCGCACCTTCTTCAATATTTTGTTCTAGTATAATACTCCATTTAATTTCCAATAGTGGCCTAATATTTACATATTTTAACAATAAATAAAACAAAATTATAAACATAAATGATTATTACTACAAAAATAGATAACCAACCTACTTTCATATAATATTATTTACTATTACCGCATTTAATTTGCCAATAGTTTTTATACGCCACTGGCGTAATTAATTTTGGCAATAAACATGCATTTATGACTAGTTGGCACGTGATTCCGATAACTACTGCAGTTTTAAGCGCGTTATTCCATTCATTATGGAGGGAGGAATCACCTTCTTCAATATTTTGTCCAAGTATAGTGCTGTTTTTTAATTTTAGATTAATGTTACAATAGAATTAATATAATATTAAAAAAATTAAAAGTAGCTTTACTATAAGTTGTATTTTGGAGTATTTTTAAATGGTCTATGGTTAAAGACAAATCAATTAATACTTACTTGAAATAATTCTTGATTCATGTGGCCGAGTACAGGATTGGACATGGCGTGTAGAATTCTGGGTGATATGGTGGCCGGACCAGCACCCATTAATATTTTGTGCGGCACTACTAATGGTTTTTTCAAAATTTCGGGTGCAGGTACTTCCATTTTTGTTTTTGGTGTCTTTCTACTGTCGAAAATTATAATTATTCAAGTGGTACTAGCAAAATTTGATAGTATATTGATTATAAACACAAATTGTATTCCAAAGGAATGGTTTAAAATAGTTTAAAATGTTTTGAAAAGCTGTGGAAATGTATTATTTCCTACTACTTACTCAGCAATTTTTTAAAAACGCAATACTTAATTTTAAAACACGTTTATTAGTAAACAAATTGCACACAACATTCAAAACAATATTCTTGAAACTATTTAACAATTTCTTAATTGTGGCTTTTTATCAAGTGTTATTGATCTAACCTCCTGGTTTTTAAATCAAGCAAAGTATGTCTTATCTCTGTATTTAAAAATACATCAAATTAAATAAATAATTGGAAATATTCCGAAAACCAGGTCCGTATTCAGGGGAATTGTTAGGAAATAATAGTTAAAAATTAGGAAATCAAATCTACTTACTCTATTGTTTATTTTTTGTACAGTTTCTACGTCATTTATTATATATTTTTAATATAATTTAAATTATGTGTAATTCATAAATAAACATTTTTTTTAATCGACTTATTTTTCTACATTTCCCAAATTAAAAATTATCTTAATTTCAAATCATGTATTTATTTAAGATTGTTTAAAAATGGTTAAAAAATGCCCGATAAAAATATTGGCGGCCTTTAAAAATATGTTCGTATTCGTTAATTTACTTCTGTCATTTTTTAAACAGATTTCTTTAAGATAGTCCTCTAATGTATTAAAGATCCGTTTAAATAATGATAAAAGTAAAGAAGAAAACATTTTTAAAGGCCGTTAAATATAAAGGAATTGTTACAGAATAGACCCCAAAGAATTTACAAACACTATTAGGGAATAGTTAAAACAGATGTTTTTATCAATTAAATATAGACAACCATCTCTTCACACTTGTGTATTCTGTATTGCCTACAAATCTATCTACACTACACTATATTAGTGTGAATTTCCAATCTTTAGTAACAGAAAATTACAAGTACACAATTTGCATCAAGTGCGAAAATAAAAATGTTCTCGATTTTCAAAAATTACAATTTCCTGAACAAAAGTTTTGTATCATGATAACAAGAATATTTTATAAGGGCGAGAAAAATTTTAAATCATAATATTTTAGACAAATTTGAATGACGATTCTTGTAAAAGTGCCAGGAACTATTCAAGATCAAAATCCAACGATTTTGCATTACCCTAAATTATTAAAGATTTTAATTTTTTCATCCTTTTTTAAATACTTAAACGAGTAGGTATACAACGATTTTGCGCTACGCTAATTATACGATAAGACAATGGACCTTAATTTCCCCGCCTTTTTTAAAATACCTCCTATACCTACTAGTTCTTTTGTTATCCAAAACTTTATAACAAACATTTTCGTCTCCGATATTTATACTAATATGGGTACATATAAAAGTAGGCGTGTTAGGTGTTACGTGTTGGGTGTTACATGTTAGGTGTTACGTAATCCATCCTTCCTGGTTTGGGTATAAATACCACTTTTACTTCTCTCCATTTTTTGAGGATATACCTCAAAGCCAACGAGGATCTGAATATAAATGGCCCTTAGGATCTTTTTCGATTTCGTGGTGGAAGGAGCACCATTTCGCCACATGCAAGTTTGGGTTTTGCCCCTCAAGTCGCCTGAGCACAACCTCTTTCTCATCAAGGTCAGCTTACGCTTCCCCTGGGATCCAGAGAGAGGCTTTGGTGAACTTGGGAAGCTCGTCCATCCTTACAACTGCTAGTGTTGCTTAATCCCATGTTTTTATGGTCGGTACCTTGGTTTTTATCCATTTAAACGTCAGGTCATCGTCGCAGGTTACTCTGATGATTTCACCAGAGTGCGACCAAGACCTGAATGTGGGTGGCTTGGTTTTGCTGGAGGAGGCGGACAAGATTGTTTTGTCCAGCTCTCCCATCAGTGTCTTATTGACAAGGATTTCTCTTTCGGTGGTTATCTTACCGTAAGGGTTATCCTTGTTTATTATAGCTACTTTCAGGTGGCTCGTAGCTGCATCCTTGTAGCTTATCCCAGACAGAACTTTGTGGTCCTGTCTGGGATGTGAGATCGCGGCCTTTTCTTATCCCTAGTTGCGTCGTGTTCCTGGCCTCTTCTGGAGGCAGAACTAGCGTCCCTCTTCCTCCTCTTTGCTTCAGACCTAGAGATTCTTTTGCCTCTTCGGGGCCTGTTAGTTGGAGGTGAACTACTGTGTCCATCCTCCTTTTTTGAAGGTGGGCGTTGCTGTCCAGCCCCCTGCGCGGGAGCTGAACTTTGTTGTTCAGGCTGCTTTGCAGGAAGTGAGCGTTGACGTCCATCCTCCTTCTTTTGAGGTAATCGTCGCTGTCCAGCCTCCTGCGCCGGAGTGTATTTTAAATAGGACAGGAATATTTTTATGGCATTATATTTTACGCCTTTAATATCTGATTTTGTATCAAGATAATAGAATAGATCAAATCTTGATGCAAATTTGTGTGCACATAAATGAAAACACCATAAATTACAGAGAGATTTTAACTATTTTTTCAATTTTCTCAGTTTCTAATTGTCAATTAATTCTCTACATATAGAAAAACGTAGATACGAAGAGATAGATTTGCCAATCGTTTCTATGTTAAGGGCGCAGTATCACTGTATTTTTCATATAAGAAGCAAGGGTTCACCATTTCCGATTGCATTTAAATCCCGCTAAATGTATTAAAATGAATCTTCTACCAGCTTAAAGTATAAGGTTTGGAGAATGAAATCTCCTATTTTTTATTTGTCCTGTTTATACACTGAATTTAAAAAAAAATCATAAAAAGTGATTTTAAAACCACAGGCTAAAAAGTAGGAGATTTCATTCTACATATTTTTCCAAGTATCCCGCCAAAATATTTCTAAATTTTATTGCGTATTTTTCAAATCTAACTGGAAATACGATTAACAAATATTTGATAAATTTATTTGTCAAATTAGAGATTTTCTATGAATTCCTGTAATTGTGTATAGTTCATGTAGTTCATCTATTTTTAAGAAGATGTCTCCGTAAAAAAAATCTAGCTACTCTGTTTTAGAGATGGTTTTAATAGGTAAATGATTGTTTAGAGGTACCAATTTTTGAAACAATGATACAGCTGTATGCCGTCTTTTATTGTTTCGTGATTTTCATATATATTTGTCTCGCTTTGCGTTCCAGATACAAAATTATCGATTTGTGTTCCTTGCGTATGAACAAGTATTGGCCACGTTGCCAGATGTACAATATATATCGATTTATACGATAATTTCACAATTTTTTCTCAGGCGAATTTAATTTTAAAGTGGGTGAAATGTGAAATGCGGGAGAGGAACTTTATTGCATTGAGATGTAATTTGAATCCGAATGACCTGGCATCACTGTATGGTACGCACGTAATATTTGCGGGACTTGCTTTCTTCTAATGAATGTTATTTTATCTTTATAAGGTACTTTATTTCTGAGTTAACACGTTGACTGCTATGTGTATATGTACCCTTGTGTATGTCCCATATTAGTGCGTAATTGTTTAATATTTTAAATTGTGTTAAAGACACGCAAACATGTTTCAAAGAAAAGTTATATGGATTTAGAAAATACATATTTTAAAAATATTTTTGGATATACAGGGTGTTATATTTTTGCCTGGCCTATTTTTTAAATAGAACAACATGTATTTTATTTCAGTTTTAGAATGATTTGGTAATACTGTATTCAAGCCTAGAATGTTTAAAAAAACTATTACAGGTTCGCCAAGCAATTAAATTTTTATGAAATTAGAGAATGATATGCAGACCCCAAATTAAATTATCATAATTTGGGTAGGATTACATTAATTTCAAAATTGTTTAATATACAGACTTGTAGCACATTAAGATAACAAATAGTGTTGATAGTGCTGGATTCTTTTATACCGAGTGTTTTGAAACTTGTCTTATATATGGCTACTTTGAGGTTTAATTTACTTAATTTTTTCAAAGGCAACATATTTTAGCATACAATTCCTTATAAATTTGCCTGTTCAACAATACCAACATGTTAGAGAATAACACCCTGCAGGTAGTTATACATATTTGATTGTTTTCAGGTTGTCAAATAATTTTAATTGACTTCATTCATTTGCTATGTTATATGTAGGGTGTATCAAAGCGCGAGGTTACGATTTTTTTAATTGTTTCAATGGAATTCACTGTATTAATTAATTGGTGGTATAACATAGAGAGTATCACATTTAAAAAATTGAGAAAATCGTAACCTCAAATTTTGACACATTCTATATACAACATATCAAATGAATCAAATTGAAAATATTGTTCGACGATGTAAAAACAATCAAATATGTATAACAACCTGCAGGGTGTTTTGCTTTAAAAATGCACACTGCATATTTATGAATAATTGTTAAATATGGTCATACAACTTTTATATTATTTTTTTTTCGTATTTCCTATTATAAAACTCATGTGTTATTGACTATCATATTGGTATCGTTGGATATGTAAATTTATAAGGAATTGTATGTTTAAATAACATACAGCGTGTGGCATTTGAAAAGATTAAATAAATTTAACTTGGAATTAGCCATATTTAAGACTTGTTTTTCAAAACACTCTGTATAAAATAATCCAGTTCTATCACCACTATTCGTTAGCTTAGTATCTTATTACTATTTTTTTAAATTAAATTATAATTTAATTTAGGGTCTGCATCATTCTCTAATTTCATAAAAAAATTAATTTATTGGCAACCCTGCAATATTTGTTAATAAAGTTCTAGGGTTAAATGCAGTATTACAGCATTGCATGCAGCATTCTAAAACTGAAGTAAAATACAGGGTTTTTTATTTAAAAAATATACCTTTTTATTTGTCAGACAAAAACGCAAAACACTGTATGTCTAAAAATATCTTTAAAATACCCATTTTTGAAATTCATATAACTTTTTATTTAGAAATTATTTACGTGTCCATAACACAAATTGAAATATTGAACAATTAGGTACGCACTAATGTATGTCCAGGGCTGCGCTGTAAGGGGGCCCGGCAAAGTTTTTTTTTGTTCTGCATGAGAAATTCGACACAAGATGAGAGAGGGAAGTTAAGTTTAAATTAATTAAAAGTTTTAGCCTAGAGAAGTTTTATTCGGGTGAGGACTTTTTTTTTGTTTAGAAGAAGAAGTAATTGAAAGGGAGAATAGTTTTTGATGTAAATACCTTTTAAATTCTATTTCAGTAGAAGAGGAACAGTTTTTGGTTAAAGATTTTTTTGTCACATGGCCCGA